AGCCTGACTCGGCCTGAGAACACGACCCCTCCCTCCCCGGCCGGCTGGCTGGCTGGCTGCCCACCTCACTCCTGTCCACAGCAGCAGGCTCGCTGCCAACATCCCGCCTTCTCCGCCTCTCTTGATTTTTCCTCCTCCATCTCCTTCCTTGGACCTTGGTCTGTGTCACTGAGCTCAGTTTTTGTGGAGACGGGGTCTTTATTTCTTGCTCTCCGTGGTAATATCTTTCTCAGGCTTTCTGTCTCTCCCAGGTTGATGCTCCTTTTCCATCCCCGTCACTGCATTATTGCACTTGTGACTGACTGAATGAATGAATGAGTGAATGAGTGAGTGAATACAGGTTCCCCCTTTCCTCCCATTCACTTCTCACCTTCTGCTCCATCTCGGCAGCACTGGGTATCCCTCCCCCAGATAGGCATGTCGAGGTCTCCCACCCCCGCCACAGCCATGGGCCCGAGCACTCCCCACTAGCCCTCCTGCCCAGCAGCTCTGGGCTCCCAAACTTTCTCCCTTATAAAGTCAGGCGGCAGCAGACACCCAGGAATGCTGCTGCTGCCCATGACGCACGCCTGCTGCGGGGCTGCCTGGCTGCCCCCAGGCGACCCAGAATGTGGCAGGAGTGGGGCACACAGGAATCGATTGCCAGGAAGTGGGGTCAGTGGGGGTGCCAGGGCAGGCAGGGCTCAGACAGGTGGCTGGGCCAGGAACTGCGGACTCTCTCCTTCTCTCTGTTAAAATTCTTCTCCTCTGGAGCCTCAGTGCTTCTGTCTGGAAAGTGGAGGCCGAGCACCCTACTGCAGGCTTGGGCTGCAGAGAACTTACATCCAAGTTCTGTACTGTGGGACACAGCGCCCAAGGAGTGGAAGGCTGGGGAGGCGGGAAGCCTCAGGCCTGGCTCTCCAGACTGTCCTAAGGCAAGGGGTGGTGTGCCCAGTTACTGCCAGGGTGGGGCAGAGAGAAGCGGGGAGCCAATGACAGAGCAAGGGAGAGATCAGGGAAAAGCAGAGGCAGAGACAGACAGCAGGGATGGCTGAGAGGCAAAGGCAGAGACAAAGGAGAGGTGGCACAGAGACAGGGAGAGGGTGGTCTGGCTCGCCCCGGGGGTGTGAGACCTCAGAAGGAGCAGGCTCTGCACTAGCTGCCCACGATGGAAAAGGCATCTGCCTGTGCTTGAGACCCCACCCTCATCCAGGCCTGGGAGGGAGTGGGGAGCCTGGTAGGCAGAGGTACTCCCCCCACACACAGGGGCCCCTTGTCCCATGAACCTGCTGGCAGACAGAGCATTAGGCATTGTAATGGAAGCAACCTCATGCTTGGGACCCCCAGGGACAGGGACCAGGTCCCCACTCACACACATCCTAGGAGTGTCCTAGGAGCCAGGAGATGCCCGTATGGCCCATGCCTCACCAGAGGGTGGCTTGCTGGAGGACCTTGACCTAGACCTCATCTGCCCATCTGAGAAGGAGATTAGCAGGGAAGGACATGGGCTCTTTCTGTGCCCCCAGCCTTAGGTCTCAGGAAGAAGGATGGAGCCACCCTACCCTGGGGCCCAGACAATAGTGTCCTGTTCATGGGGAGGAAAGGCAGGAAGCCGAGAGGACTTCTCCACCTTCAGCAAACCTCTCGGATGGGCGCCGGGCAGGAAGGGCAGGAACCCTCCAGGAACACATGGCCCCTTTCATGCAGTCAGGCCCAGCCACGTAACGGCGGGCGGGCACCGAGGGGCAGGACAGGTCTGGGCACAGTCACTGCTCTGTCCTGGCAGCTCCCAGCCCACACACACGCACATACACACAAACACATAGCCTGATGCAAACCCAAAACAGAGCCCCAGCAGCCACCCACACACTTGCACACACACACGCAAATACACATCTACAGAGCCCTGGACACTCACCTACGTACCTTCTTTCAGACAGAGAGGCCCATACATGCTGCACTCTTCCAGCCCAGACCCCTGGGGCATCCTGCTCCTCCCATGCCAAAAGCCTGGTACCACCCAGGCAGCCGGCACCATTAACCCTCTGCACATCCATACTTGAGAGCAGACCCCTGGACCTAGAAGGGACTTCCAGGACTAATCCCCACAGTCGGAGAGAGAAGGGATGGGAAGGAGTGCCCATTTTACAGACACTGAGGCCTGAACTGGGTGCCTTCTCCTGGCCCAGAGGGCAGCCCGCACGGCTGCGGCAGGTCTGGACCGGTGTTTTGATGAATCATGGGTCTTGTTGACCCAGGAGAGTTGAGGGCAGGTCTGATCCAGCCTGTGCTGATGCCTCTTCCCCCGCCCATCTCCCCCCACCCTGCCACCCCAGTCGGGCTGCTGAGCCTGGCCTGGCCCCTGCTACTTTTCCCTCTCCTTCTCTGCTGTCAAGTTATCTAGAGCCTTAAGGAAGGTCAGGGGACAGAAACCCTCCTCTGCCTTACCCAAGGGAGACTTGTGTATCCCTGCCAGTCTCTCACTTGACCTCGCCACCCTCCTCTGAGACTGCCTGATCCCCTTCCTCTTAGCTCCCCAACACCACCCTCACCTCCCCCAGGAAGTCCTCTGGGATTGACTTGTAGCTCATTACTTCTTTATCCTGTACCCCCCTCCAACTTCCCCTCACCTCCAGGACAGGGATTCTGGGTTCTTGCAACTGCAGCCCATCAGAGAAAGTAAGAGGGGCAGAAGAAGGAGGGAGGGGGGTGGCGCTGTCAGAGTTTCCACAGCCCTGGCCAGCGAGGCCTCAGAGGCCTCTGTCGGGGCGAGGGGCTGCCTAGCCTGCGCGCTCCAGCAGCACAAGGCAGCCTGTGTGAGCCCTTCCCCGCCCGAGCCCACAGGAAACATCAGGGCCCAGCCCTCAATGGGCCCATTCAGACCCCAGCTCTCTGGAAAGTACCTCTGCTTCCTGCCACCCTCCCATTCTGTCCAAATAGGCTGTTTCTCTCTCCTACCGAGAGGGGACTGGAGGCAGGTTGTTCAGTGGTTAGGGCTAGCCATCTACTTCACTTCCTGCCTGGCCCAGAGCCCTGACTTCCACCATGCCCCAGCGGGTTTACGTATAACTTTAGTGCAAGGGAGTGTGGATGGGTGTGTGGCCTGGGGGTGGACGGGTCACTCCCACACAGGGGAGGGAGCTGTGCCTCCTTCTCCATGGGTGGTGGGCAGGAAAACGTTGACAACAGGCTTTCTGGGGGAAGGGGGAGCCCTGATTTGTAGTGCTTGTCTCTTTCCATGGTATAAATGTTCTCACAGTGGGCAACATTACCTGGCTCACAAAATTCCTGAAAATTTAACAATCAGCTCTTGCCAGCTGCAGCGAGCCACTCCGGCTCACCATGATGGGGGCTCCATCCTGCAGGGGCCACGTGCCCCACCCTCTGTGCTGAAGCTGCCCTCACTTTACAGTGCTGTGTTTTGCTTTAAAGAATCAATGTCCTTGCAGATTAGGTAGCCCTGCAGGTGCCCTCCTCCTGCCAGTTCCCTGCTCTGTCCCTCACTGGCACCCAGGTGTGCTAGGCCTGCTGGGCCAAACCCACCCAGATGGTTTTGTAGGTCTTGCTTGATTCCTCTAACTTCCCAGACAAGGTTCTGGCGTTGCCAGCGGAGGAGATAACCCGAAGGGATTTCGGCTCTGCCTGAGGGGAAGAGCATCATCTTCCTCGGACATCCCTCCCAGCGGTGTCGGCTGCAGGAGGGCATACAGTCTCAGCCTCCTCCGGTGGCCGTTGCTACTTGCTCAGCTGCTGTCAGCTGGCTCAGGCTGGCCAGGGACCAGCACATATGTGGCTGGTACCAGATCATCGGTATCAAGGCCATCAGCCCGTGCTTGCTCACGGGGGGGTCGCAGGGAAGCCTGAGAGGGATGATTCACCTTTTTAACCCATTCCTGTCTGCCCACCCAGCCCTGGATGTCTACGGGCAGAGCCAAAGTCATATTTGGCTTTTATCACCGTAAAAGGAAGGACCAGAAATTATGGCAATAGGTTGGTGGTCAAAGGAGACTAATTTGGGGAAACTACCTGGAGGAAGTAGCAAAAAAAAGGAGGTGTCCCAGAGTGGGACAAAAGGGGCCCTACATAGTGACCACTAACCCTGGGCAAGCCCAGAAATGGACTGCTGCCTTGAGAGACCCTCTTCGGCCTGCCTAGCAGCCCCTCAGCCCTTCCCAGTCCCTGTCTTCAGCCTGGGGAAAGTGGGAGCTCAGCTGCTGTCACCCCTAGCTCCTCAGCCAAGGTGGAAACAATGAGGCCGTTAATTGCTCTACAGCAGGAAGCAATCGCGGGGGTGATGGAGGAAGTCTGGGCCCATTTGGGGTCTGACATTGCACATGGTCTCCATCTGGCCTCAGAACCTTTGCTCCTTGGCAGACCCAGGCCAACAAGCTGCCACCCCCACCCCCCAAAGGCAACTGGAAGAATGGCCTGAGAGAGACAGGAGAATGGGTGGGCTGCCTGTCTGAGAGCACCACTAGGCACCAGCCACGCCTGAGCCAACCCAGGGAGGCATGGCAATTGTCCCCAGGAGCCCAAGGTCGAGGGCACTTAAGAGAAGGATTCTGAGCAGGGATCAGTTTGGGTTGGGGGTGCTTCTTCTGAAACTCCATTCCTAGGGGCTGTGACCATCAAGCAGGTGATCAGGCCAGTGATGGTTTCCCTTTTGGCCAGGGCAGGGCCAGACCTGGGATAGAGATTCCTCTGGGGCCTGGGGAAAGAAAGCCAGAGCTGGCAGAAGCCTCTGGCCCCAGAACCTCCTAGGAGGAGACTGAGTTGCTGGGAATTTCTGGGTCTGGCCTCTTCAAAGCCAGGGTCTGGGCTACACACGAGACAGGCTGTGCCCTCTGGTGCCAGAACTAAGCAGGTGCTGGGATGTGGCTGATGATCACGGTCGGCACTGCATAGAATCACAGGGTACACCAGGATGGGACATCTCCCTGCAACCGCCATCCATCTCTGAGGCACCTCGCCTCCTCCAGGCAAGAGTCAGAGCCTTGACCCCAGCTCCCTCTCTCATTCAGCCTCCTTCTTCGGGGAGAACCACCTGGAGGTGCCCGTGGCCACAGTCCTGACCGACATAGACCTGGAGCTGCAGTTCTCCACGTCTCAGCCTGAAGCCCTACTGCTCCTGGCAGCAGGTCCGGCTGACCACCTCCTGCTGCAGCTCTACTCCGGACGCCTGCAGGTCGGTGACCTCCCCCTGGGATCAGGGGCAGGATTCCTTCTCTAGCTTTGAATGGCTTCCAACTGGCTGTGTGGCCTTGTGCAAATCACTTTTACCTTGGGGTCTCAAGTTCTACACTGTGGGGACAGACAGTAGCATCCCAGAAAGTGTGAGTCCCTTGTGAACAGGCTCTGCCCTCCTGCCCTCTGCACCCTCATTTCTGACCACAACCCCCAGCTGGCCCTCTGTGCTCTGATGGCCCTGAGCTGTGTTCAGCTCCCGACCAGCCTGTGGTCTCTTGCTGCCCGGCCTTTGCTCACTACACTCCCTCTGCCTGGCATGTGCCCGCCTCACCTGTCCCCTGTACCTGCCTACCTGCAGCCTCTCCTTAAAGTCTCGGTATGAACATCTTCTCCTCTGGGAAGGGTCCCCGAAGCTCTCCTGGGTGAGGTGCCCTCTCCTGGGCTCCCAGGGCCCCTGTGCATCCCTCTGGCATTGCACCTGTTGCCCTGTGCCTCTGCCGTCTGTCCGTGACAGCAGCAGTACCAGCACCGCTACAGCTTCCTCACTGTTCCATCTCATCCTGCAAGACACCACCAGCTTATTAGCGAGAAGTCTTCTGCTCTCTCTGGATTCTTCCCCCTAACCATGAAGAGTCTGAGAACCCAGGGTCTTAGTCCAGAGTTGGGAGAGCCATCTGCCTCCACACGCCAGCGGGGAGAGGCCTACCTGCTGCTGTCGCTGCTTCTCACTGCCACAAGGCGTCACTGTTGAGCGCTGGCCTGGTACAGTCCGGTGCTGATGCCACGTTCCACTCTGCCAAGATCGGTGGTGTCCACCCCCAGAGGCACTCCATACTTGGACTCAAAGGTCATGGTTCTTAGTGCCCTACTCCTTCAGTTCCCATACTCTGCCACCACCCATTCTACCATCTGGTTGTGGGAGCACTGCACCAGCGCCAGTTCTGGTGTCAGTGTCACAGAGGATCTCCCCCACCCAGGTCAGGGAGCTTTTCTTTACTCAGCCTTCAAAACACAGAGCATCTGATTGGGCTCCCCATCCATGAGCAGCGGGCCTGGCAACCCTCAGTGACCCCAAGGTGCTTTGTCCTACTTAAGGGGACTCATCAGGGGATTGATTCCCAGGTGCCTGTTATTCCAGGGGTAGAATCTTCTGTATTCCAAGATGATTTTTCTGACATTTCCCACCCAAGGAAAGAAGGAAAGAATAAAAAAATACAAGTTGGGTCTCTAGGAGAGCATCCTACTGTGTGTCAGTTCCTTGTGGTCACAGACCACATGTGATTCACGTTGGGGTCCCCAGAGTCCATCCAGGCATGGCCCCAAGTTCACTTTAGTAAGTGTTTGGAGGATGAGTAAAAAGATGGCAGGAAGGTGAGGGGGTGGCCTTTGTCCAGGTCCTCTGCTCTGGCAACCCCAAGCATGGGCACCCACTATGCTTTTATAAGGGAAGTGATGGATTCAAAGTGATGTCCTGTCCCCCATTCCCCCTGTCTCTCCTCAGGTCAGACTTGTCCTGGGCCAGGAGGAGCTGAGGCTACAAACCCCGGCAGGGACGCTGCTGAGCGACTCCATCCCCCACACTGCCGTGCTGACCATTTCAGATGGCTGGGCCATGTTGTCCGTAGATGGGCTCCTGAACACCTCAGCCCCAGTCCTGGGAGCCCCCCTAGAGGTCCCCTATGGGCTCTTTGTCGGGGGCGTTGGGAGCCTTGGCCTGTCCTACCTGAGGGGAGCCAGCCGACCCCTGAGGGGCTGTCTCTATGCAGCCGTCCTCAATGGCCGCAGCCTCCTCCAGTCACTAACCCCAGATGTGCATGAAGGCTGTGCCGAAGAGTTTTCTGCTGGTGACGATGTGGCCCTGGGCTTCTCTGGGCCCCACTCTCTGGCTGCCTTCCCTGCCTGGGGCACTCAGGATGAAGGCACGTTGGAGTTTACACTCACCACGCGGAGCCAGCAGGCACCCCTGGCCTTCCAGGCAGGGGGCCAGCGTGGGGACTTCATCTATGTGGACATATTTGAAGGCCACCTGCGGGCTGTGGTGGAGAAGGGCCAGGGCACTGTATTGCTCCACAACAGTGTGCCTGTGGCTGATGGACAGCCCCATGAGGTCAGTGTCCACATGAACGCTCACCAGCTGGAAATCTCCGTGGACCAGTACCCCACACGTACTTCCAACCGCGGGGTCCTCAGCTACCTGGAGCCACGCGGCAGTCTCCTCCTGGGGGGGCTGGATGCAGAGGCCTCTCGTTACCTCCAGGAACACCGCCTGGGCCTGGCACCAGGGGCTGCCAACGCCTCCCTGCTGGGCTGCATGGAGGACCTCAGTGTCAATGGCCAGAGGTGGGGGCTCCGGGAAGCCTTGCTGACTCGTAGCATGGCAGCCGGCTGCAGGCTTGAGGAGGACGAGTATGAAGAGGATGCCTATGGCCCATATGAAGCTTTCTCCACCCTGGCACCTGAGGCGTGGCCGGCCATGGAGCTGCCTGAGCCATGCGTGCCTGAACCGGGGCTGCCTCCTGTCTTTGCCAATTTCACTCAATTGCTGACCATCAGCCCACTGGTGGTGGCCGAGGGTGGCATGGCCTGGCTTGAGTGGCGGCACGTGCAGCCCACGCTGGACCTGACCCAGGCTGAGCTGCGCAAATCCCAGGTGCTGTTCAGCGTGAGCCGAGGTGCACGCCATGGAGAGCTAGAGCTGGACATCCCGGGTGCCCAGACACGGAAAATGTTTACCCTCCTGGACGTGGTGAACCGCAAGGCCCGCTTCGTCCATGATGGCTCTGAGGACACCTCTGATCAGGTGGTGCTGGAGGTGTCCGTGACAGCACGGGCACCTGTTCCCTCATGCCTGCGGAGGGGCCAAACTTACATCCTGCCCGTGCAGATAAACCCTGTCAACGACCCGCCCCGCATCATCTTCCCGCACGGCAGCCTCATGGTGATCCTGGAACACACGCAGAAGCCACTGGGGCCCGAGGTGTTCCAGGCCTACGACCCGGACTCTGCCTGCGAGGGCCTCACCTTCCAGCTCCTTGGCACCCCTGCCAGCCTCCCTGTGGAGCGCCGAGACCAGCCCGGGAAGCCAGCGACTGAGTTCTCTTGCAGGGAGCTGGAGATGGGCAGCCTTGTCTATGTCCACCGCGGTGGCCCTGCACAGGACCTGACGTTCCGGGTCAGCGACGGGCTGCAGGCCAGCCCCCCAGCGACACTGAAGGTCGTGGCTGTCCGGCCAGCCATACAGGTCCACCACAGCACAGGGCTGCGCTTGGCTCAGGGCTCCGCTGCACCCATCTTGCCTGCCAACCTGTCAGTGGAGACCAACGCTGTGGGGCAGGATGTGAGCGTGCTGTTCCGAGTCACCGAAGCCCTGCAGTTTGGGGAGCTGCAGAAGCAGGGGGCAGGTGGGGTGGAGGGCGCTGAGTGGTGGGCCACGCAGGCTTTCCACCAGCGGGATGTGGAGCAGGGTCGTGTGAGGTACCTGAGCACCGACCCAGAGCACCGCACCAACGATGCTGTGGAGAACCTGACCCTGGAGGTGCAGGTGGGCCAGGAGACCCTGAGCAATCTGTCCTTCCCAGTGACCATTCAGCGAGCCACGGTCTGGATGCTGCAGCTGGAGCCACTGCACATGCAGAACACCCAGCAGGAGGCCCTCACCACAGCCCACCTGGAGGCCACCCTCGAGGGGACAGGCCCAAGCCCCACCACCTTCCACTATGAGGTGGTTCAGGCCCCCAGGAAGGGCAACCTTCAGCTACAGGGCACAAGGCTGTCAGACAGTCAGGGCTTCACCCAGGATGACCTGCAGGCTGGTCGGGTGACCTACGAGGCCACAGCACGTGCCTCGGAGGCAGTCGAGGACAACTTCCGTTTCCGTGTCACAGCTCCACCACACTTCTCCCCACTCTATACCTTCCCCATCCACATTGGTGGTGACCCCGATGCTCCCATCCTCACCAACGTCCTCCTCTTGGTGCCTGAGGGTGGGGAGGGTGTCCTCTCTGCTGACCATCTCTTCGTCAAGAGTCTCAACAGTGCCAGCTACCTCTACGAGGTCATGGAGCGGCCCCGCCATGGGAGGTTGGCTTGGCGAGGGGCAGAGGATAAGGCTCTGATGGTGACCTCTTTCACTAATGAAGACTTGCTGCATGGCCGGCTGGTCTACCAGCACGATGACTCTGAAACCACAGAAGATGATATCCCATTCGTGGCTACCCGCCAGGGTGAAAGCAGTGGTGACATGGCCTGGGAGGAGGTACGGGGTGTCTTCCGAGTGGCCATCCAGCCCGTGAACGATCATGCCCCCGTGCAGACCATCAGCCGCATCTTCCATGTGGCCCGGGGTGGGCGGCGGCTGCTGACCACGGACGATGTGGCCTTCAGTGACGCTGACTCGGGCTTTGCTGACACTCAGCTGGTGCTGACCCGCAAGGACCTCCTCTTTGGCAGTATCGTGGCTGTAGATGAGCCCACGCGGCCCATCTACCGCTTCACCCAGGAGGACCTCAGGAAGAGGCGAGTCCTATTTGTGCACTCAGGGGCTGACCGCGGCTGGATCCAGCTGCAGGTGTCCGATGGGCAGCACCAGGCCACAGCACTGCTTGAGGTGCAAGCCTCAGAGCCCTACCTCCGCGTGGCCAATGGCTCCAGCCTTGTGGTCCCTCAAGGAGGCCAGGGCACCATTGACACAGCTGCGCTCCACCTGGATACCAACTTGGACATCCGTAGTGGGGATGAGGTCCACTACCATGTTACAGCTGGCCCTCGCTGGGGACAGCTACTCCGGGCTGGACAGGCAGTCACGGCCTTCTCCCAGCAGGACCTGCTGGATGGAGCCATTTTCTACAGCCACAATGGCAGTCTCAGCCCCCGTGACACCCTGGCCTTCTCCGTGGAAGCAGGACCAGTGCACACAGATGCCACCCTACAAGTGACCATTGCCCTAGAAGACCCACTGGCCCCACTGCAACTGGTCCAGAACAAGAAGATCTACGTTTTCCAGGGGGAGGCAGCTGAGATCAGAAGGGACCAGCTGGAGGTGAGGAGATGGAGGTGGCAAGCAGGGGACTGGGCCAGGTAGAGAGGCTGGACCAGGTAGAGAGGCTGGGCCAGGTAGAGGGGGCCCACCCAGCCTGACCTTCAGGCTGAGCATGTCTGTACATTTTGGGATGACTACGGTGGCTTCTAGGTGAGGTATTCACTGGTACATGTATTTCCAAGAGTTTCTGGGTACTACGTTAAATGTATATGTGCCTATGAGTTGTGTGTGTCTCCAGATACATACACACGAGCACATGCTGTGGCTAACCATGCAGATTCCTGGGCCCCACCCAGAACCACAGAATCTCTGAAGTAGAGCCTGAGAATCTGCATTCTAATAAGTTCCCTGGGAGGTTTGAGGACTGCTGACCACGGAGACAGGCTTCGCTGCCCCTCAGATCCCTGTGGCCTTACCACTTTTCTCAGACCCCAGATGAGGACTAAGAAGGTATGTCAAGGGTCTGCCCACCCAGGAACCTCACAGAGCAATCACCGGCCATCCAGCAAGCTTGCTGATTTGCTGTAGTGCCCTCAGGCCAGTGCCTTGCCCTCTCTTGGCCTTATTCTCCTCCATAGCCAATTTCTGAGACCTTACTGATTCTGGATGTCTGGGCTTTGAGGCAGGCTGTGACAAAACATGTCCAGTGTCAGGAAGTCCTCACTTTGAAGGGGACAGACAGCATTTGAGCCAGGCTTTGAAGAATAGAGGGTGTCAGTAGCGGAGCATGGGGGATGGTATTCCAGGCAGAAGGAACATTCCAGGCAAAGACCCAAAATCAGGAATGAATTTGGGGGTGTTGTTTAGCCTTTTGTGGCTGGACCATCAACTGAGAGAGCACCCAGGGGCCCCTGGGCTGGACCCCGGTCTGCGAGCTCCATCGTGCAGGAACCTGCGCCTCTAAGAAGGGCGGGGCGCCCTCTGGTGGTCAGGGGTGGGGAGGAAGGCTCCGGGCAAACCAGCCACAGGCCTGAACAGAGAGAGCCTGAGCAGAGAAGAGCTCTGTGCGCGTGTGTGCGTGTGTGAGTCTGTGCACATGCACGTGTGTACCTGTGTACACGTGTGACTACGTCAGCATATGATGCGCTTGTCTGTATCATCGAGTCTGGGGACATGTGATCGTGCACCTCCCTGAGGGAGTATGTCTCAGGCTGTGTGACTGACAGTGTACCAGTTTGTGGGGTGGGTGTGAATGAGCTGCGTGTCTGTGTGAACCTGAGTGTACGTGTGTGTGTGTGAGTGAGCAGTGCTGTCTGGAGGAAGGAGGGACTGTGGAGGTTGAGCCTGTTCTGGCTACTTAGGGTCACACAGCCCCCTTTGTGACCCCCCAGTGAGTCCCTGTGGCCCTCTGTTAACCAGGCAGCCCAGGAGGCAGTGCAGCCGTCAGACATCGTGTTCTCAGTGAAGAGCCCACCCAGCGCTGGCTACCTGGTGATGGTGTCGCACGGCGCCTCTGCAGATGGGCCACCCAGCCTGGACCCCGTGCACAGCTTCTCTCAGGAGGCAGTGGACGCGGGCAGGGTCCTGTACCTGCACTCCCGCCCTGAGGCCTGGAATGACACCTTCTCCCTGGACGTGGCCTCAGGTGTGGGTGCTCCCCTGGAGGGCATCCGTGTGGAGCTGGAGGTGCTGCCCGCTGCCATCCCACTGGAGGTGCAGAATTTCAGCGTCCCCGAGGGCGGCATCCGCACCCTGGCCCCTCCACTGCTTCGTGTCACTGGACCCTACTTTCCCACGCTGCCAGGCCTTGAGCTGCAGGTGCTAGAGCCGCCCCGGCACGGGGTCCTGCAGAGGGAAGAACGGCCTCAGGACGGGACCATCGGCTCCTTTTCCTGGAGAGAGGTACGCTGCCAGGGAGACCGGGACTGCAGCCCAGCTCTGGGAGCAGAGTTGCGGGAGCCCCAGGAACTCCCAGTCTGGGGATATATACAGAAAGGAGACAGGGAGCCATGTTTAGGGGGCACCTGTGCTTTAAATATCTTATCTCACTTCTTCTTCACAACCCCTCTGGGAGGTAGAAAATGTTGTCTACATTTGCCACCTGTGGAAACTGAAGCTCTGAAGGAGGCAGTCTCCTCAGACACCCAAAGGCAGGACATGAAGGGTGCTGGGCCTGAGACCCACGGTGAGTCCCAGGCCTGCCGGGTCTGAATGCCAGCGCTGGGCCTGCCCACAGGTGGAGCAGCAGCTGATCCGCTATGTGCATGACGGCAGCGAGACGCTGGCAGACAGCTTCATCCTGGTGGCTAATGCCTCGGAGATGGACCGTCAGAGCCGTCCTGTGGCCTTCACCATCACCATCCTGCCTGTCAACGACCAACCCCCCATCCTCACCACAAACACAGGCTTGCAGGTGAGAGCGTCTCTGGGACCACCCCCATCTCTTCTCCTAGAAAGAGGCCAGGATCCCCACTTCCCACATGTAGCTCCCCTTCTAGGAGGCTGTTTTCTCCTCTGAAAGATGGGGACACTGCCACGTGCTTCCAAAGTTGTTGGAAGGAGAGAGGTGATGTTGCACTGAAAACAGAAGACAGGTACGAGGTTGTGTTGTTGCACACTTATAAGTGCAGTGAGCAACCTTGTGAATGGCCACGCTTGGTCCTGCTGTTGCCTGATCTCACCCACAGCAGAGGCTTTTTCTGAGGCTCAAGACCAGAGCACCTGACAAAATTTCTTACAGGCCCTTCACAGTGGGCCTCAGGTGGGGAGCAGTCAAGCTCCCTCCCTCCACCCCCAGCAAGTGAAGGCCAAGCTTGGCTCCCCAAGCTCCCCACCTTATACCATTGCCAAGCAGTGGTGTCCCCATTCAGCAGAGGTGGAAGTTGAGGCCCAGAGAGGGGGTAGAACTTCTCCATGGTCATGAAAGTAGCTCCTGGTGGAAGAGAAAGGGCATGGCTTGACTAAACCCACATAGCACCACAGTGAATGGGCAGGGCTTTGAATGCCAGCATCTAGGGTGTAGACTCCCCAGTCAGCAGGGCCATGGAAATTTCCAGAAAAGAGCTAACTTGGGCTATCTCTGACATGGAGCACTGGGACTCTATGGAGGTGTAGGATGTGCTTGTGAAAGGGGCGGCCTTGTGGTGAGGAGGCCAGCATGTGTCCATGGGACACAGACTATGGGCTACCCTGGGACCACAGGTCAGAAATGCTATGTGGCAGCTTGGCCACCAGGTGGTGCCATCCGCCCGTGTTTTTTCCAGGAGCTCAGTGCTGAAGCCCAGACACATAGATATGACCCCTCGTTCCAGGACTCTGCCTGGGGACTTCCAGGGACTGGGGATGGGAGCCCAGGAATGCCTGAAGGCTCAGTTTCCTGGGTATGGGGGCCCCGCCCCAATAATGCCCCCAAGTAATTGATTCAGCAGGACATGTAACAGGATCCCAGGAACAGGGTCCTGTCCTGCTGTTAAGCAGGAGGCCTGAAGGGGGCTGCCCTTCATTCTGTACGTGGGGAGGGTCTGTGACTGTGCTGGAAACACCCAGGTCCTCAGCCCGGCATGGCTTCCATGCTGCAGGACAGTGGGCCAACCATCAGCCTTTCCACTCTCCGTGCCTCCACCCGCTCCCTCCAAAGGAGAGGCCGTTTCTAAGAATCCTGGGCAGGCCAAAAATCACCATTCCCATCGTGTGCCCAGCCCCTGCCCAAACACATGGAGGATCTGAAGGGAGACCCCTGCCTGTCAGTGAGACAGAGCCAGATTAAGCAGCACTGTTGGTCGGGGTTGGGGGTCTCTGGGGAGTGAGAATTTGGCGAAGGTAAGAGCTGGGGCCTTCCTAGCTAGGGGGAGGGACATGAGCTGGCCTTGAGGAGCGAGCAGGATTAGGGCAGATGTAGAGGAAAGAGCCTGGGGCCTGGAGGCCCCAGGGCATCAGGGAAAGGGGAATGGGGTGGAGGGCCCTTTGTGCAGGGGAGCCCAGAGTTGCACAGGCCTCAGGGCCTCAGTTGCCAGCCGAGGGCCTAAGCCACAGCAGGGTTGGTGCCCTGATGGCAGCCCCAGAGCCGGGGAGGAAGGGAGTGGGTGAGCGTGGCAGGGGCAGAACCTTCACAGGCTTGTGTCCCCAGATGTGGGAGGGGGCCACTGTGCCCATCCCTGTGGAGGCCCTCAGGGGCACAGACGGCGACTCAGGGCCTGAGGACCTGATCTACACCATCGAGCAGCCCAGCAATGGACGGGTGGTGCTTCAGGCAGCACGGGGCACCGAGGTCCTCAGCTTCACACAGGCCCAGCTGGATGGCGGGCTCGTGCTGTTCTCACACACAGGTGGGTGCTGAGAGGGGGGCTGTCAAGTCCTGCAGCCCACAGTGAGGCTCTGAAGATGGGGGGCCATCTTGGGCCAGCAGTACCCATCTCCATGCCTGTCCCCAGGAGCCCTGGATGGAGGCTTCCGCTTCAGCCTCTCCGATGGCGAGCACACTTCCCCTGGACACTTCTTCCAAGTGACAGCCCAGAAGCAAGTGCTCCTGTCATTGGAGGGCAGCCAGACACTGACCGTTTGCCCAGGTGGGTCTGCCGAGCGTGGTGATCCTGCCTGCCTGAGAGCGGGGGCCGAGCTGAGGTGACACACTGGGATCACACTGCCTCTGGCCAGTGCAGGCCTTGCCGCAGCTCCCGGTCAAAGGCTGACAGACCCCTTTTGCCTCTTTTAGGATCTGTCCAGCCGCTCAGCAGCGAGACCCTGAGAGCCAGCTCCAGCGCAGGCACCGACCCCCACCACCTGCTGTACCGGGTGGTACGGGGCCCCCAGCTTGGCCGGCTGTTCCATGCCCAGCAGGGCAGCGTCGGGGAGGCCCTGGTGAACTTCACTCAGGCTGAGGTAAGGGCCCAGCTCTGCAGCCACCGCTCAGACCCCATCCAGCCACAGGTGGCCCGCTCTGGTCGTGGACATACACGTAGGCATGGGTACCAGCTCCAGCACCATTGGCAGCTGACACTCTCCAGGCTCGCCATGGTTCTGCCCTGCCCTCCAGAGGCTGCCAGGCTGGCAGGGCAAGTGGAGGCTTAGTGTTCCAAGGAGGGGAGGAGAAAGCTGCAGTGGGAGGCCGGGGATACCTGGACCCAGAGCAGGGATCAGGTCCTAGGACTTGGCTTTTAGAAGGAAGCTGCAGCTGGACCCTGGGGGTTAGAAGGGGTGCACCATGAGGGGAGCACTAGAGGCGCCCCAGCAGCTAGTGAAGGGCAGTGCTTGGTTCAAGGGGATAGAGTTTGAGGTGAAGCAGCTGTTGCGCATGTGGGCCGAGGTGTGAGCCTGGGGCTCAGATCAGGGGCCAGCGAGAAGCAGAATAGGTCCTGGGAGCAGAGGAGCAGACAGAAGGCAGCTGAGTAGGCCAACCTGGGGGTGAGGCTGCTGTCTGTCTGTACATCCATCCTGGCAGCTTTGGGGCATAATTGTCCCAGAGCACACCAGAGACCACCGGTAAACACTAGAACTGTCAGCCATGGTAGAGTCAGACTGCTAGGCTGCTGGGACCACAGCACTCTCTGTACTAACTGCCAGTGGGGCCCAGCAGCCACCACTTAAATTAACATCCCTACTAAGTCCAGAAGGTGCTGTGAGTGCCAGGACAACCTTGGTTCTCCCCAAAGGCAGAGCAGGAGTTTTCCAGGATGGGGCAGAGAAAGATCCAGACTCTTTCACAGGCTCTACAGAGCAGGCAGTGAACCAAATGCTCTGACCTATAGGCCATGTGGGTGTCCAGACGCACATGATCCCAGTGAATTCTGGGTGTGAAGGGGTCTCGGGGACACAGAGCTGATTCTGCCACTTGGGAGCCACAGCACTCTGGTTCTGCTCCAAGCTCCCTTCACCCTAGAGACCTCCCGAGCCTGGCATGCTCCTTCCCACCCCATCCAGGGTGAGTGCCCCTCCTGAGAAGTCCCACATCAGTGGAAGAGCTGAGCAAGTGCACAGCCAGAGCTCTGCCCAGCAAGCAGCTCGGACGGGGAGGACATGGACAAGGGGACACTGGGACCAGGGTGGGGTAAGGTTTCTCAGGTTTCGCACATCAACACCCCCAAGACTGGGCTTTCTGCTCTCCTGGAGTTCCAGCTCCTGCTGTGGCCCCGTTCCTGCTCCCTCCCCACAATGAAATATTCAGCAGGCGGGTGGCTGCAGCAGCTGTGCACTGGAGCCTTTGTCACCAGATGCCCAGGAAGGGGGAGAGTACAGGGCCAGGCCACCAGCACCCCTCCCCACCCTACAGTCCCCACCTTAACCCAGAGCTTCCCCCACACCCCAGCACTATGAAGGACTAGGCTGAATGGTCACCAGGGGGCCGGGCTGGCAGTGCCACCCAGGGAAGCTGGGAAGAGGCTAGGTGGCCAAGACACCCTCCCCTACCTAGGGAAGGGGGCAGGGCAGGACCGGGTGTAGTGTCTTGACAGCACCACAGTCCCACAGTACTCTAAGCTGGGCAGGGCAGGGATCAGGTGTCCCCATTTCGCAAATGAGGAAGCTGTGGAGGTCAGGTAGCTGTTCAGAGCACATGGCCAGCAGGAGGCAAAACCAGGACTATGCCTCGTGACCGCCAGCCAGGATTTCTTCCACCAGAGGACACTCCTTGCTCCCAGAACTCGGGACCCCCGCCCCTGCCTGCACACTGCCTCACTCCCAGCCAGAGCCCTCCCGCCCACAGGACCTCCTGTGCCAGGCATCCAGCCTCCCGCCCCCACCTGGGGGTCTCCACTTCCTTCCCGCCCACCCTGCAGCCTGGGCCAGAGGTTACAACTGGCAGTCCTTCAGTCCTTTGGGGCCACATCTGGCCCACAGATGTGTTTTATTTGGACTGCACAATGTGTTTAATATTTTCAAATTAATTGTCAACATATAACCTTTGGGAGATTTCACCAAAAAAACCTGATTTACAGTTTCTTAAAAGGCTGTGCTTCCTCTAATAGCAAACAGCTGAGGAGCATCCACCTTGTTTAGAAGAGATACTCCTCCTCCCCTGTAGACAGCTCTGCTCCCCTCTGCACCAGCCCTGCTCCCCTCTATACCGGCCCTGCTCCCCTCTGCACCGGCCCTGCTCCCCTCTGCACCGGCCCTGCTCCCCTCT